GGCTGCCATTTCACGACCAGCTCCTAGCGCCGCATCAACGACAGCAACAAGGCATGGTAAACACATTATCGCCGCCATATAGTAATCAATCACCACCACACTCGGTGCAGTCCAATATGACTCTTTCACCACAAGCAAGCTACATGGGTTCGCCGTCGCCGGCGAAAAATAGACCGTCGTTACCCACTTCGCCAACTCATATCGCTGCTATGCGGCAGGCGACGCATCAGAAACATGGCAGCATGCCACCAGTGGGCTTTGACTTCGAGAATTTACCATATTCCTCGAGTCAACAGCAACAACAACAGCAGATGCAGCAAACACAGCAGCAGATTCAACAGCAGCAGCAGCAACAACAACAGCAACAACAGCCGCAGCCGCAGCAGAGCACGCAACAACAACAGCAGCAGCAGCAGCAGCAGCAGCAACAGCAACAACAAACGCAACAATACTATCAGTACTTGACGCCGCCGTCTCATCATTCCGGACCCGATGTTACGCCACAGCATCTCATGCAAGCTCCCGAAAGTTTTCCGACGCCGTCGCCGGATAGCCCTGGTCATTGGTCTTCGAGCTCGCCCCGATCGAATAGCGACTGGTCCGATTGCATGGCCTCGCCTACGAACGCTTACGGCGCCAGCGGTGCCCACCAAAGCAATAAAGGTTCTGAGGCGATCTACATATGAGGCCAATAGTATGATATTTTCTTCTTCACGCAAATAAGTCGTGAAAAAAGAAGAAAGTAGAAAGTTATATGAACTGTGATTAGCTCGTCGAATTTGAGCGTCTAGAACGTCGAAAAGAATGGAAAAAATACGCAACGTCGTTGACAACGAAGAGCTCTTCCGTAATGGATCAGTGGCAAGAAGGTATTTTTATTTATCTTTTGTTTATTTTTGTGTGTATGTGTGTATATCGGGAGAGTTATTATGGTAAAATGCATTCTCGCCGCGATTATTATATATTAATAAATATCAGTGTTGAGAATGAACAATAAAAGATTTTTGCAGTTACACATTTGTTATTTTTTATGCATTATTTATATTGCTAAATATGAATCCATTTTTTAAATTATTAATTATATTTATTAATCAGGTCAATACATTTTAATTATAAAAGTTAAATATATACATTTTATCTAACACTGATGCATATAAATATATACGAATATATGTATATGTATATTGCGTGTGTAAGTGGAAGAGTTTCACAATCACAGAAATGTTATAAAATATTTGCTAAACTACACGCTATTCGTGATTCGAGATTTGCAGTTCTTTGTTAAAATTGATGAATAAAGGCAGATCTTGCAATTGTCGTTTACCACACATGCCAAATCGTCAACGGAACACATTTTGATAAAGTAAAGTATACGAATCATTACGAATTGTTGGTTCGTGTATAAAGCTACACTATTACAAACAATAAATTACTAATAATATGTAAGTTTAATATTTGTGAACAACAAATATCTGTGAATTTATTATGAATCATGGAAGGCGAATCACAAATCACGTACACGTACAGTCTGGCGCGTTAGCTTTAGATTTACTCAAATTACAAAACCAATTGTGCCTCTCTAATACGACATAATGTTTAGAAGTTACAATAGGAAAATTGCACAATTTATAAAAAGTAGTTGATAATGGCCTTCTGAACAAATGTTTATAGCAGAATTATATAATGAATTACGTACAGAGAATTTGACTAATGTATTTATATATGTATTTGTAGTATATTTTTGATATCTATCGAATTTTATTGTCGCGGCGTCATACACAGCTCAATGAATAAACGGTGCCTTCAACTTGCCAATGTGAAGACCTCTGATGGACAATAATAATTAGTAAGGGAACGAAGCCTTGCTATTCTCTATAATAATTGTACATATTGCAATAGATTTATCATTCGCGCTGCTGTGTCTGTTATTCCACGGAGACACTACATGTTTCATGTAATATGCAGTAATGTATTTAATTCAATTGCATGTGAATTCCCTCATTTTTCTGTTTCCTTATTGTATTTTTTAGTTAATCATTCTTTTTAACGATAACTGCCTAAACAATTCTCACTAAATGCAATCGTAATACAAAATAAGTTACGGAAAATAAGTCATGAATTGTGCCTTCGAATTCCGTAGAGTATAAGACACGCAAGTTCTACGGATGAATCTATTGTTAAATTATACGAGTATATTGGAAGAAACAGCGTTTCCAAATGGCCTCTAAATAGATTAAACGTTTATTCTAGTTAATATAATTGAAATGTCAGCTTATACTGGCAACATGTAATGTAATGTAATTAAATGTAATGTATTGTAATGTAATGTATTGTAATGTAATGGAACGTAATATAAGGCGAAAAGACAATGTGTATAATCTGTACGGTTGACGGGAGTTTCAGAGAACGTGTTTTTTACAGCTTGCGGAGCAAATATCGTTCCATACATAAACATTCCATTGCGTATGGCGCGCCAACATTTTTTTTCTTTTCTTCCTTCTTTTCAACTCTTTTAACTTGCGCTATTAAATCCTTCAAAAAATCATTTACTAAACGAGTTAGTGTAATGTTAATATTTAGGTATATTGATCGCCTTAAATTAAGTACTCGGCGCGGAGCGGTAGGACAGTTCTCTGATCTCTTTTCTGCCAAAGCCAAAACAGCATTTTTAATGTAATCGTACACTTACGGTGCATACGGATGATATGCGTAATAAGTAATCACGACGCATCATGAAGATTGTTGCAAGATAGAAATAAATATAAATAGATAAAAAGAGGAAATGTGTATGTGTGCATGTGTATAAACGAGAGAGAAAGAGAGGAGAGAATTAACTATTGTTGCGGGATGAACAAAGTGCGCGCGCTTTTGCAATATATTGCCAGTGATACATGTTTTCGTATGTTACACGAAGGGGATTACTGGTATAATCGATACGATCTGCTTGTGAAATTTGAGAATGGTTCTGTTTTAACTTTATATCGCGAAAGATGAAATGTAAATGTAAATACTCCTTCATCTTTTCTATCCGCTCATTTTCTACTGTTTAAGTACTTTTATATAATTATCTTTTCTCTTTCCTGAATTTTTGTACAAACTGTTTTTACATATTTTTTATATACTATGTATAAGTTTAGTTATATTACTATACTTCCATAAGAGATACTACATAAAATAATCATGTCTCCTTCATTATATTATTATCATGTAAACATATTTTATATGTCGTATGCAGTTTGCTGTTGCATTAAGGATTGGCGTATCATTACGATCCTTGATGCACCTTTGGATTACATACAACGGTGTAATGGAACATATATTATGAATTCAATGCAATTTCAATGCTTGCTTTATGAATACATTTTCCAGAGAGAGATAATACTTTTTTACGTATCATTTTTTTAATAACAAATTACATATCTTTAGAACCGCCTTGCATATCATCAAGATTATGTATAGTTTACCAATTAATAAAAAGGAGAAGATAGACAAAAAGAATATTTTCTGTATAGAAAAATAAGTATTTTAAGAAAATTATACAAAATTATATACAAATTCATATATTGTACATACAGAACATATACATACATACATATAATGTGTATGCATATGTACATGTACGTGTATACCACACATACACACGCACACACACTCTCTCTTAGAATATTAGCAAGTGGAATAATCAATTGCACAAAAGTGCAACTAAAAGTACAATCTTTAAAAAGATAACGAAATCCAGATAGTATTGAATAAAGATCTGTAATCTCGATTCATTTGTTATAAAAGATTAGCAATATATAGATGTTATACATATATAATATAAATTATTGAGCAAGCAAAAATAATTTTACCATGTGTTCAAAATTTAACAGCAACTGCTCTCTGATACACCAGCATTCTGTGTTAAAAAGCGATATAACTTTTAAGTATTATGCTAAAATAATTTACAATTATTTTCAATAGGGTAGACCGATTATTACTAGATTTTGTTATTCCGTGTAACTTGTAAAAAGTACTGAGTTTTATTAGTAGGTAACTATTCTATAAGCAAACTAAGGATTTGTTCGGTCCTATTATATTCTGTCCCTCTACCCACTCTCCCATATTTTTATAAATAAGTTATGTCTTTTAAACACAAATGTAATAATAAAGATAATCTAACATCCATAATAAAGTTGTTCTTTTTTTGGCATCTTATATATTGTTAGAGGTTTCGTACTTTATTCATATATATATATATGAATAAGTTCAGTTTTCGGCACTGGCAGTTGAAGTGAACGCTCGCTGTTATTGGTGTATTCTTCTAGATCTAAAATTCTGATTGGATGATCTAAAAGTATAATCCAATCAGCGTAACGAATCATAAAACGGTTGTAAAACTGTTGAGTCTGGATCTGGAACGCAGCCATTGCCACAAGTTACAATCCATGGTCTTCGATTTTAGTTCCTGTTTAAGTGTTATATGAGAGTTTATAAAGAGACAAATTTATCGAAATGTTACTTGCTAGTAGTGCTAGTAGTTTATAGCACGAGTCAGTCGGTTTCAGTATAAATTGCAGTTTAGTAGGTCACTTATTAAAGATATTAAGGAAAAAATTGTCATTGGAGAAATATCGAAGAGTTTGAGCCTAAACTACGATCATTTCACAAATTTTCTGAATTCAATCTGGATTCTATTTTGGACTAATTGTTTTTTGATACATTTCAATCCGGTAAGATTCTAATTTCCTTCGGTTAATCAATATTTAAAACATAACCTCAAAGTAGTTTGTCGTGTTATTTATTGATATACTGATATATATAGTTGAAAATGTACACATCTATAACTCTTACCATAAAAAATTAATCATAAAATCTTATCTCTTTATATTAATTATTTATAGAATCTTCGCACACACAGGAGTGTAATTTTTTCGATAACAATATAGTCTTCATTGCCAATTTGAAATAATGGAAGGTTCTGTGAAAACAGTCTATTATCCTCAAATTTCTTTATTGGTAATGTTGAGTAACGATTGAACTACAAATACGTCGAGAAAACATGTTCAGATGTTACGGACTACTATCGGGTGGATGACAGGCACATCAAGGATGGATTCCAGCAAGAGATCGGAAGCGGTTAGTAGTACTGTTGCACAGTCTGAGAGCTCAGACTCTATAGAGGTATGTATAAAGTATTATAAAAAACTTATCATGTAAATACATATTTGTTGACTTAATTATTTGATATTCAATAATCTATTAATTATAGGTAGACAATTCTCGTACAGTTCTGCTAAAGATAGCAACACTGTACGCAGAACGTCTTATGAATGATATTTGTCTTGTTGTGGATGGTGTAGAATATCCGGCACATCGACTTATACTCTGTGCTTCTAGTGATGTTTTCCAAGTAAGTACAGAAATCTGTTAAAAGTAATAAATATTGATTAATAATCAATATTATTATTATAGGTAATGCTGATGAGTCCACAATGGAGCGAGTCTCAGGAAAGCAGGGTAACTCTCCAAGAAACGCCGCAGTGTGCACCAATATTCAGTGAATTTTTGCGCTATTTTTACACTGGCCAGATAAGAATAAACCATAGTGTTGTTCTACCAATATTGTCTCTAGCCGATAAGTACAACGTCAAAGATTTGATATTGTTGTGCCTTGACTACATGCGGAATCATGTTGCATTGGCTGCTATACATGGCACACTGGTATCGTGGCTGCAATATACATTAAATTGTGGACATCATGATATTAGTCAAGCATGCCAAAACTTCATCAAGTGGAATTTGGAGCTTGTGGCCAAGACTGCAGACTTTGGGAATTTCGATCTGGATATCCTAGTGTCCTTGTTACATCAAAGTAGTTTAGTTGTGAAAGATGAAATGACGCTTTACAAGTGCCTAGAACATTGGCTGAATTATCAAGCAAATCGTTTGAGAGCACAGCTATCGCCAGACGAGGTAGAAGCAACATTATATCAGTTAGTAATAGCGGTGATGTCGCCTGTTAGATTTCCAATGATGTCACCGCGACAATTGGCGGATTTGCTACTGTCACCTTTAACAAAAAAATATAAGGAATTCTTTGTGGAACGTATGTCTATTGGCATGTCTTTCCATTCAGGACAAATCAACAGAGTAAAAGAAGTCAGCATGAGCGAAGAGGATGGTGCATTGTTGTTTGAGCCAAGATTGTATACTGTTGATACATGTAGTTCATTATTGACCATAGAAAACTTTCATAGTTTACCATCTTATCACATGAGAACACTTGTATTTTCTAGTCACTCCAGTTTAGCAGAGTATGCAGGCGATAGAGTGTGCGAGTGGGTAGTAGATATCTATCCTAAGGGTGTATGGTTCAAGAAGTTTTTTCTTATAGTATGGCAGGGTACAGTGGAGATGCCCGAACATGTCAAGCGATCAGTGAGATTGTCGTTGACTTGTAAAGAGCCATTAAATAGTAATATGCGTGTGAAAATCGGAGTTTTAATTTATGGCTTGCAAGATGGCGTTGAGCACATTGCAAGAGTTACCGAGATTATTCACAGATTCAGTAAGAAGGATCGCGTCCTGAATTTAGATGATCTTTTGCCGTTCGAGGAACTCAATCCACAACAGGGCTCAGTCTCGGAAAATGTATCTCCCTTTTTAGTGGGCCCTAATAAAGACATGCTCAAATTACATATTGTTATATCGCCAGCAAATTAACGTTTACAAAAAAATCTATGATACGAAAGTGTCACAGTGTTGAAAAATAAAAGTTAAAAATGTTCATATTCTACATTTTTACAAGAAATTCAAAAAGAAGATATGTTTTATATTTCTTGTTATATAATGTATTTTATATTTCTAAGTACTTTTCTTTGTACCTCATATTTTCTTTTCTTTTTCTCTTAAGAAAAACATTTTTCCTAGTTATATAAAATATTTGTATGAAAAGATAAAATTATCATAAAACGTAATATGTAATTGTATTTTTGGACATTTGATTCTAATCCTCATACGAATTGATTGACTTTATTAAACGTACATTGTTTATATTTATGTAATTCTAATGAGATATATGTATAGTACATTGCAATTATAACATATCAAATGCAATGTGAAATAAAAAGAAGAAAAACTTAGTATATATTTAGTAAAAAAAGAAGAAAACTTAATCCTAGCTCTATTATGCTGTAGGTATAATTTCCCTTCTTGAAGTCTAAACGTATAGACTTCTATTCCTACAATCTTGTCTAATATTTGTGTGTATGAAGGCATATACGTGTATATAATCAAGATACGAATGTAAATTATTTGCTATTATAACATGTAATAATGCAAAATGCGAGCGCATATTATGGACATAAATATGCGAATTAATGGGCTTGTATATTAACTGTGTTCCACAAACCGACATTTTTGTAATAAGAAGTGCAACCGCCAATGATATCCAAAAGAGAATGACAACTTTTTTAAAATATTACATAGAATTTATAAATATATTCTGTATTTCACTAAGTTGAAGAAAAGAAAAGCGTTGTTAAGAGACTTAACGTTTTTTTAGTTTTAAAATTGCAAGTTTTTTTTTAAATTATTTTAAACACGCAATTTATTGTTATTAATTAATTAGTATTATGAAATTGGAATGACGGATACATACTACGAATTTTGTGACTTTCATATTTTATTTGATACTTTATTTTGTCGCTATTCCTTAATAACAAAAATGCTATAAGTTATTGGAATATTATAATTACTATAATTAGATGGTAATTCTTTATTATATATTTTTTAGTTAAGAATTGATTTTCAATTTATCTGTCAACATTGTATTCACATATGCAACAAAATAATCTAAGATTAAATAAAGTATATAATATTTATATATATATATTTCTTAAAAAGTATTGTATGCTAGTACCTTTGTGTGTAATTTTAAAAATCATATATGATATATATATGTATATATATATATGTTCTACTCTTATTTTTTTTAACGATACATTTTTGTCGGTAGCTACATTATTCTCATTATTGATTTGAGTTATTCACTATAATTAAAAAAAAAAATGTAACTTGTTTTGTAAACATTTATTAATTTAAGTCCATCGGTGAAAAATAATTTTATCAGCTATTATTATAATTAAATTTTATCGGAAATTTATCTGCATAGATAGTGCATTCGGATATATCACATACGAATGTATATGAAATACAGTGGCATACAAAAGTTTCCGGCTAATGACATTTTATACTCTAATCTAATTTATAAAAAGAAACTGATAAAATTTTTATTATTACTATAGGTGGTAGGTAGTAGATATATAACATAATTTCGTTATCCACATCTTTTATTAATACCCGATAATGATTAACATTTTATTAAACTTATTTTATAAAAAAAAAAGTATAAAATATCTATGTCACTGGAAGCTTTTGCACGTTACTGTACATATATGTATGTGCAATAATCTGCAACAAATACTGTTGCGATAGATCACGTGATATTATAAACCTTGAATAGTTGGTGAAAGGCACTTGTCAAGAATATCTTTTACATTTCTGTCGTAGCAGCTTGCGCTCAGTCATATTTTTATCTTGTGTTATTAAACAAGGTAAGTAATATTGTTTATTCAAATGATACAATATTAATAATACAGTTTAATTTATTTATGTGTCTGTATATAGTATGTTTTAATCGGTTGCTTGATGTAGAAGATCATAATGTCAGAAAAGTACGTTTAAAATTGAAAAAGTTTTAAACTATATAAAATTATTAAAATCTTCTATAGTCTGTTATAAACGGTTAATTAACGGTTTTTTTTAATTTTATAATATTTGCAGATATTTGTAATTTTGAGTGAGCCCCCCCCCCCCTTGGTGAGACATCTCAAATTTTCGGCACTTTACTAAAAAAAACCACCTTAAATTATATACAATGTGTACACACCTACATGATTATATAGATCTAATACTTGTAGATTCAATATGAAGCTATATAGCGTTTCGGATGGTCCACCATCTCTTGCATGTCAGCAACTATTGAAGGCTTTAGATATTAAATATGAATTAGTCAATGTTGATTTTGGAAAAGGTGATCACATGACTGAAGAATACGAAAAGGTATTAATAATTTAAAAAAAAAATAAATAAATAACTTGTTGAAAACAAGCAATAAAACATATATTTTGCAGTTAAATCCACAAAAAGAGATACCTACTCTTGTCGACAATGATCTTATAATGGGTGAAAGGTAATAAGAATTCTATATATATTTAAAAATTGACGTTTTTCCGCTTATTTGTATATTTAAAAAATATTTATAAAGTATATATGTATAGAGACTATTATATATAATTATCAACATTAAAAAGTATTTTTTTCAATATTATTAATTTAAATAATGAATTTCTCATTGTAAACTGCAATTACTTGCATGCGATACATATGTATATAATTATCACCTATAGGCAATTATATATTTCGCATCCATGTAAGATGCATTCTACTACACACAGTAAGAAATAAGGAAATGTATACAGATTTTATTTATATCAATCATCGTCCTATTTTTGTATAATTCATGTCTTGCCGCGTTACGTTACAGCAACGCAATTCTACAATATTTAGCCGATCAGTATGATACAAGCGGTAAACTGTATCCAAAGGCACCAAAATTGCGAGCGATTGTCAATCATCGTCTATGTTTCAATTTAGCGCTTTATTATCGTAACATCAGCGAATACACAGTAAGTCCGATTGTTAATTAAATTCTTGTCTGAACGTGCTTATTTATTATACATTATAGTGTACTTCATGCTACAGTTGGCGCCGATATTTTTTGATTATCAACGCACACCATTGAGTCTCAAGAAAACAAAAATTGCGTTGGATATCTTCAACACGTATCTGCAACGCGAAAACTCTGAATATGCAGCAGGCAGTGAGTGTATATATATATATATGTATATATGCATTACTCAATAAAAAATTAGGGAATACTTTCAACACGTTAAAAATTAGGCACACACACACACACACACACACACACACACACATACATACACAATAATCAGATTAACTGTAACTCAGTGAAAAATCATCGCAGACAAAAAATTAAAAAAGCATTTTAAAATAATTCGTTATTATTTTTTATTTATTTATTATAATATAAAAAATTAATATTTTTTTAATTGTTAAATTGTATGTACATATATTTATTAATAGATAGCTTGACAATTACTGATTTTCCATTGATAACTGCAACAATGTGCCTGGAAGCCATCGACTTTAAATTGGATGCTTGGCCTTATGTAATGGAATGGTATGACAATTTCAAACGAAAGCATCCAGATCTTTGGGAAATTGCAGCGAGTGGAATGCGGGAAATCAGTTATTTTGAGAAACATCCACCAGATTTGTCCGCTATAGATCATCCGATACATCCGGTGCGCAAAAATGCATGAAGAATTTCTGCAACGAAATCCAATAGTTTTGAACGTTTGCAAACGCTTTTTACTATAAATTAATTTGCAGTTTTTTTAAGCACAATATAAGAAGAATGATAATAAAAGTAATTTCTTACTAAACTAGATTTATTATTGACACATTTGTTCAATATTTGCACAATAGTTCCATAATATTCCTCTTAATAATCAATATTAAACCACAGAACCTCTCTTACAATATATTTTTATGATAAATATTATAGTTACTGCAGTTACAATTGCCACGTGTTAATTTTTGTGTAATTGACAATATATGTATATATACAAATGAAATAAATTTATCGACACACACATTTTTCTGTCTATTTTTTAACAAAATGTTAAAATTAATTGAAAAATTTGAAATAGCATCTGTCATAATTATGTATACAAAATTGTATTTAGTAACACAAATAAGATAATTATATTTATTGGTATAGATAAATGAAAAATAATAATCAGTGTGTGTAAAATAATTCTATGAAAATGTGTCGTATGTGACACTTATAAAAATATATATTTACGATCAATATATTTAAGACTTAATTTAATTGTTTATAGAAGTTTATGTATACAGATATTCTTACAATTAATTGAATTCGACGAGACTTATAGTTTCATCGTAAACAGATGCTAAGCTGATCACGAACCTTAATAATCCCCAAATTTTGATACATTAACTTTATACGTGAAATTTAACGTAACATGGGAATAATGTATACAACGTATATATGTAAATTGAGCTGTCACGTACGGAGTATTCATGACATATTAAATATCTCTCATTTTACAGATTATAGTCATCACAACTTTCGACACCGTTGTAACATTACGGTAAGAAGAGGACTTATTGTTAGAATATAAACAAAATTATCAACCCTGTTAATATTATGCTAATTTCGTAGGATAAGAATATATCACTATGAATCATTTGCATCAATTTGCAAATGCGATAAAACATTGTATCATTAATTTTTGTTACAATACGTTACTACAAATAATGTCTACATTAGTACCAACAGTATCTTCAGAAATGAAAAACGGTTTTAGAGTTAATTCATTAATTTTGATTGTCTTTGTGTATTATATCCGTTTGTAACTTCCACTAACGATAATGCATTGAATATTGTGATATTTGTGAAACTGCCGAATATATAAAAGGCTCTAAATATTGTTTCTAACATATTTTCCACGTACTTAGAAACGCAATGAAATTAACAAGTCTTTTTAAGTTTG